TCGGCTTGTCCGTTCTTCCGTCTGATGAACAACCTGTACACAATCAGGGGAAAAAGTTGGCGGAGGTACGTAGTATGGTATTGAATCACCGTTTCAAAGTAGAGGCAAAGGACTTCGCAGTATCTATTAACAATTCTAATACTGTTAAGTTGACAGAATGGGGTTCGAAGTTATCGGATTCAATTTATATGGGGAGGTATGGTGCACTTTGGATGGTGAATGGTAGACAGATTGAGGAGGACAAGTGAACTGGAGGACTATGTCTTTAAATTCAATGAGTCTTCAAGAGCTTTCTTGGCACAGCGGTGTGTGAATCGCTGAGGTAGGTATTTGATGATAGCGCATTAAGGGGAGAGGTGTCGGAAAGGAGTTGTCATGGTACCGGAAGGTGTAAATGGAGAGGGATGGGCATCAGTCTCGCAGGTGTTTCAAGCAGTTGTTGACTCATTTGTTGTTGGGGATAAGGCCAAACGTCGAACGGTGAATGAACGAAACGGACAAAGGATGACTTATGCAAAAATTACAGTAAAATCACAGACCTCGGAGCATGCTAACAAACGGATGCTACAACAAAAGGAAGTGACAGTTAAAGTCAGTGTTAACAAAGGTCACGACATTTGTTTGAATAGGGCCGAAATAATGGCTCGTGTCCAGGAGTTGAAAGGAGCATTGGATGAATTACTTAGGCTAGTTGGAAGTGGGCCTGAAATGGGCCCCATGAAATTGGTACGCTGTCACAAGTGCGGGGTTGGGTTGGATGAGGAGCCGATCGGTGAAATACACATACCGGGATTGACTCATAAGGAGCTATTATCAATTACAGGACATGAAAAGCAGGCAAGAGTTGAACATTGTGAGTCTCAGGAGAGGATGGAAGTGGGGTACTACAAAAATGACGACGAGGTTGACTTAGTGGGGTTGAACCGGAATAAAATAGACACGGGGATTGTAGTAGAACGAGAGGTGGAACCGCTGTCTAAGGAAGGGGAGTCGAGTATGGAGAACTTGGAGACGATGATAATGGGCATTGTGAAAGAAAACGACGCGACATATTCGACATCAAGGATTACGAACACTTATAATAGGAGGACAAAAGAAGATGACACGAGGACCGAAAAAGCTTTGGTGTTGTGGGTAGATGGTGCCAAGAAGGGAGAAAGTGACAGTGACGTTATACAAGTGGTGGAAGAGAAAGAACGGTCCTTTGATCATCTGGATGGTTATCATGGAGAGAAAGCTTCAGAAGCTGATGTGTTTGAAGTTGGACACCCACCTTCGAACTGGGTTCTACAAAAAATTTAAGAATTCAGTAAGTTGGTTAGCGTGTCTTGTGATGGATATGAAAGTATACTGTTACAATTATTCGAGGAGCTGGAGGTTAATATGGGACAAGGAATCAGTACACATGGAGGTAAATTGAGAAGAAAGAGTGATCGCGAACTTAAGAGGCTCGAATGGTCAGTAAATTATACTAGTAAAGGTGGCGAGTCCAAGAAAGGAATAATGGGGAGGGGTGATGTAGTGTTAAAATGATGCCAAAACTCATTAGCTGAAATGTATGAGGGCTCAATGAGGTTAGTAAAAGACTTGGTGTTCGACATATGCTAAGGGGATGGGGGAGCAAATCTTATATGCTTTCAAGAAACTAAGATGGAGTTTATCTCGAGGACGGTGATTAGTAGCTTATGGGGAGAAAACATGTAGGGTATCAGTTTTTGGGATCATCAGGGGTATCAAGAGGTGTGTTGGTGATGTGGGACACTAGAGTGCTTGAGATGGAGGAGGTGAATATAGGGGTGTTCTCTATATCAATTTCTTTTAAAAATTGTGAGGATGGATTTCGGTGGATGTTCACAGGAGTTTATGGGCCTAATTCTAATGACAATAGAGTGGGTTTGTGGGATGAACTGGCTGGAATGATGGTTTGGTAGAATCTCCCAACATGTATTGGGGGTGATTTTAATGTGACTCGATTTCCTTCAGAGAGGTCGAGTGGTGGGAGACTAACTAAGGCAATGGAGGAGTTCTCAGATTTTATTAGAGAGAATTTGTTGGTGGATTTACCTATGATTGGGGGAGATTTTACTTGGTCATCTAATCGAGACCGACTCGCCTGTCTCGTATAGATAGGTTTTTTGATTTGTGGGGAGTGGGAGTCCAAATTCTCAGATGTTACTCAGAAAAGATTGGAAAGGTGTGCTCGGATCATTTTCCTATTATGTTATCTGGGAATAGGAGGGGTGGTGGAAGGTTTAAGAAGATGTGGTTGAAAGTAGAAGGTTTTAGGGAGCGAGTATAGACTTGGTGGACTTCCTATGAAGTCAGTGGGTCTCCCAGTTTTGTATTAGATCAGAAGCTAAAGGCGTTGAAATGGGACTTAATGAAATGGAACGAGGAAGTGGTGGGCAATGTTAACTATAGTAAAAATCAGTGTCTGTCAGATATAGAGAAATTGGATAGGCGGGAGGAGAGTCAAGGGTTGGCTGGGGAGGAGAAGGAGAGACGTAGAGTATTAAAGGAAGAGATAGAGAGGTTGGTGGAGATGGAGGAGATTGCTTAGCGACAGAAATCTAGGGTTACGTAGTTGAAAGAGAGGGATAAATGCACTAAGTTTTTCCACAAGGTCGCCAATTCTAATAAGCAGAACAACTCCATCACAGTTTTGGAGGTGGACAGGGTTACTTATGAGGAACCACAGGAAATTGGAAGTCAACTGGTGAATTTCTATTAGAACCTCTATCGGGAACAATTTGAATGGAGTCCAGAATTGGAGGGATTGCACTTTTCTACTATCACAGAGGATGACGCCAGTTGGATGGAGAGATCATTTGGGGAGGATGAAATCAAGGAGGTAGTGTTCAGTATGAACGATGATAAGGCTCCGGG